ATCTGCAGTGGGATCCATGTGTTTACAACTAGGATTTGATTTTTCTGGACCTGATCCGCTGAAAACTGCAGAGGTGCCTTCTTTCTGTTGGTTCACATGTTTATTCATCAGAAAGGCAGCACTCTTTTCATCTCTGGCTTCCAAAGGAGGCTTCTCACACAGGGCTGCACCATGTTGGCCTGGACAGCAGGTTTCAGGCTCATCACATGATATTTCCTCACTGGTGTCGTGGCTCACATCTGATAACACGTCGTCTACATTGACGATGGGCAAGTTACAGTCTGGTTGGATTGTGGCTTTTCCTAAATGTGTTCTTATTACTTGATCAGTCCCCCCCTGAACAGATTTGGCTGGATCCACTGTGGATCCATCACTGCTCTGTGACCACACAGTCCCTCCCGGGCTGAGCAGTCGATCTACAGCTGGCACAAGACATGAAAAGATCAGGATCGAATGAGAGGAGGTTGGTAACAACGAATAATTTACATTACATATTTTTTTTAAATATGAAACCAGTGAATTGTAATTTATATGATATAATTTGATGTGTAAGTTTAATTATTTATGTGTACATATTAGTGGTGCAACGGATCAAAAATCTCACAGTTTGGATCGGATCAATTTTCGGATCAGCAAAAAAAGAAAAAAGACAGAAATTGAACATTTACTTATTGAAGTATTTTTTGCCTGTTAAAAACATTCAACTCAAGACTCATTCCAGGCAGTTATTAAAAAAAATTATGGTACAATATAGTGCAGGATAGGGCTTTGTATCTACCACTCAATTCAATTCAGTTTTATTTATAAAGCGCCAAATCACAACAACAGTCGCCTCAAGGTGCTTTATATTGTAAGGTAGACCCTACAATAATACACACCGCTCATTACATCGCACTCCGCTGTGATATAATGAGCGGTCACAGTCACGTAGCTTTCCGTTGCCCTGGAGCTCCAACCATTTGTAGCACTTGGGCAACAGAAGAGGCCTGGGACAGTTCAGCCATAACTTTAAACTTCTCCTGCTCATACATGCTTGGAA